GAATAATGTCGGCTCCGGCGGGGTTCTGAAAACCACATTTAATCTTGAAGCGCACGTATTGCATTATATAAATCACCACTTGACAGGCAATATACATTTGGAAAAGATACTTTGGGGTGTGTTATTATAATAATTTAGGTTTCCCCTATTATTTTTGGTAAAATAAAAACGCATTGCGTAGGGGAGGAAGCGGTTCACGGAATTTGTATTATTGGCGGAAGTATAGTGTTCAATATAGGACGATAAGTAGAAACCAACGACGAATGATTAGATACACTCTCTCCGTGAATGATTTTTATTAATTTACAGAAAAAACAATGATCGCCAATAGTCGTATTTTTGTATTTAGATGAATTCTTGATGTAATCCAATATTATCCGATGAATATTCGAATCAATTATGTTAATCATAGTTTTTTTTATGGGAAATTATTATATTACAACAGCATTATGTATAGCCGAATCTATTCGGAGGACTAACTTTTACTCTCGAGTTGTTTATGAGACACGACCGAATCGTTACGTTATTGGATGTATCAGATCGTAATCGCTAATTAATTGTGTCGACGAAAAAACAAATCTCGAGTAAAAATAACGTGATATAACAGCCGGAATACTGTTGACCGTTTAATTTTTTTTATGTAATACATACGCTTTGTTGAAAATCAGTCAGTTTTTACTTAAATTTTTTTTTTATTTTTCATCAAAATGATATATTAAAAACTTATTTTTCGCTGACAAGTGTATATATATATTTCATAATCGCCGAGTTCAAGTGTTCTTGGCTGTATAGCAAGTATGGAAAGTGTACACTTGATGTTATTTTTTTAAACATATTGCATAGGCATTACTCATAAGTATATCCTTAATGGCTAATGATATATTCCTCTCATTATTATTGCTCACTCAAATACCGTATCGTGAGATGACTTTATAAATCGCAGTAGTATCATATTTCATTTGATTCCTTCATTAAAAAATGAAAAAGATATATAAGAATATCGTATAACATATTATTACATGTAAAACAAATAAATAGAAACTATTGAAATATTAATATTACCGATGCACTTAAAGTACCATTTGCTCATTTAGTTAGATAAAAATTATTGCGAGTTTATTGAGGATCGAAATTTTAGATTATTTTTTCCTTTTATGTGATTTTATCTCGAAAAGTTTATGTTAGCTTAATTACTCTGGTGGTTATCTATATGAGTACTAGAAATGGGTAACGTAGCTTAACATCCAATAATGGTCAACTGTGATGAGTCAATTAGCCATTTGTGGCCAATTCACCACAAAAAGTACTAATGAGATTGTGCATTATTTTATCAATTCCTAAAAGTCGTTGAATACTATTCGAATGTGTTTTTTTTATCTTTGAGGACGTTACCAAAATATAAATTAACGAGATAATATAATTTGTAGTTTAGATTTAGTCATTTTAAAGTACTGATCGTTTCTCGTTAATTGCTCGATCGTTTTAATAAGTATTATGATTCTTATGCCTGAAACGATCGCATTGACTATATATGTTATCGTAGTATTTATATTATATATGCAAAGATAAATTGTTAAAAATTACATTAATCTAAATGGTTATTCTACTGTCATTACTTATTAGTATAATTTTGTTTTTTTATATCATTGATGATCGTATTAAGTCTTCTCTCCAAGAGGACACTCTTAAGTACAAATGAAGTATAAACATCATGATGTCTTCTTTCTTACAAGGTTTTAGATAAATGTGCAATGTATGTATCTGCTCAAATTGATTTAGAAATATCAATTAGTTTTAAACAATTTATATTTGTACCAATAAGGTAACCATTTTTTAGAGGGCAGGGAGACAAACATAATTAATTGTCAACGTTATACTTTCGAACTTTTATAAGTCTATTGGGAAATTTAATTAATCTTGATCGCGTCTCTCATTTTTCGCATGAGACTCATCCGATCACGAGTACACTGATTTTGTCTGTCTCGGTTACACCCACTGGCCACCGCCGTGCAATTATAATGCAAAATAAAAATATGGATAATAAAACCAAAGTCTAAAAAATTTCATATAATTATTTATATTATTATATTTTGTTAATAAAACGATGGCGACGGTTTGCAAATGCAACTGCAGGCGCCTTATTAGAAGAAAAAATCCTTCGCCGCTAGCGTTCGTTAGAGCACGTTCGACCCCATTTCTCATGGGCTATTCAGTAATTCTTTGCTGATCTAATGGTTATTTTCCTCGACAGACAGGCAGCTAAAGTGTGTGCACGACGGTGTTTCATAATACTATTATCTTTCTTCGTTTAAAAAGGTAATCCGAAGTATTATGGTATGTTCACGAGCATCCACAAAATCGTTTAAACAATTAGCCGAATATAATTAAACGCACCCCAGACACTGTACTAAGATAAGTGCAACTAATAGAGAATAAACCGTTGTTTTGTCTAAATTTCTGATTTTGAATTTCCGAGAAATCAACGTCGTTTCTTCAAGAATTTTTTTTCATGAAGTTTGAAGATAACCGATAAATTATTACGAGCTATTTTCATAACATAAAATTAGCTGAATTAAATAGTCAATTCAATTTTAATAGCGTCAAGTGAAAAAGACAACTTGTGTTATGGCAGATCATTATGTAAATTATAACCTTACGCTTTGAGAGTGCACATAACTGCTTTTTAATCTTTTTTTTCCTTCTTCATCTTCGCCGTACACTCCTAACTACACGGGGTTGGCCATCCTAGTCCTACACCACCAAAGAGCTCGATCTTCTACATATCGTGATTGAACGAGATGTAGAAGATTTGCTAATACTATATAATTATTGGAATATTTAAATAGGAAAATTTCGCATAGTATTGTTATCATTGGTGGTAAAATTTTAAAAGGATTAAGAGGAAACTTAAGAAAAGGAAAAAGTGTTAAAATTAATATGCAATAGAACAGTTGACTGTTTTACAGACTGTAGTACGAAATTTAACGAAAATATTGTAATATTCAATACGCATAAAAGCATTTCCATTTTAGTCTAGAGTCTAGAATAGTATAATAAGTAGAAATATTTTGATATTATTGTTAATTAAGTTTTATAAATCATAAAATAAGGCTACTCAAAAATTTCTTTCACGTATTGGATTTCTAATATTTTTATTGTTTTTTTTACCAATAATGTCAATAATTACAGTCTTTCTTTTGTACTGAATATTTTCAATACTAACATTAAAATTGAAAACTACGAAAATTGTATGCACTTCAGCAAATATCTTTATTAGTTTCTCACTATGTTTACAAAAATATTTATTTATAACTTATAATATAAAAACGAATAAAATCAATTTTAATTTTAATTTTTAAAGATTTACATATCTATTTACATTATCATAAAAGCAATTTGCATTTTTGTCAACATTAATTATTATTTTTAGAATCATAATAATTAAACATTTTTTTTTTTTAATTCTACTTAATAGAATACTCAATATTTGTAAAATCAAATGTATATTATATACTGAATATTGGTTATTTTAAATATAGTAAATAACTTGTTTACTATATTTTAATTATACAATTGAAGAGTCGTGTATTCTATTGTAATTGATGTATAATAATGCTATAAGAAAAAGTTTCTTCAAACTCCTGACGGTATACTGTCTTCACTATCACCTGACAGTGAACATAACAGAATATTTCCTGTCAGGCAGAGATGAAGATACGGACGTGCGATAGGTCACGGATTTTAGTGTGTTTGGGTCACGCGTTGCACCGACGAGCCTTTCACCTTACTGGCGGCACTTCATAATATAAAAATCACAATTTTACATTTTTTGCTGGAAAAATGTATATTTTGTTAAGGTGTTGGTTAAAATTTTGTTGAAAGCCATTTACTACAATAGATTATATGTGTCGATTGCCATGCATTGACAATCGACACACTTGTTGATTCTTATTGATAAACACTAAGCGATAACAAATTTCTAAATTATAATCCACTTGATTATCTTTGAAAACAAATGTATATAATATTTATAATAGTACACTCACATCTACATTGACTTGATAAAAATGATAAGTGTTTTACTATTCCGGAATTATATTTTAAACATCATAGATTACCGTTATGGTTGATGCCACAGAGGGCATCAAATCGAGTCGGATTCGTGGACATCAATTACGTTCTGTTTCAAGTCAAATAAATCACATCCTGTCCGTAGTAAATACAGCTGATTCAGCTATAAAATATACTACAATACAAAAAGTAAACATTGTAGCGATACAAGGGGTCTGTGTAAGTTGTCGGATGAGCGATCACGCGTAGATAATCGCTTGCACTAAACTCTGTACATGTTGTATGATTGACTATTGTAGCATGTTATATAATAATATGTATAAATATAACACAAACAAAACGAATATAATATGTAATATTATTTATTTGTCAAATTACATACATATAAAATACAAAGTTCTTCATTTTCTTTTTATCAATTTTTATCAAATATTTTTATATATATGTTTGCTTACACAAACATGGATTTACAATATTACCACTTATTCGAGAGCAATACGTAATAGCGTACATAAATATATATAATATTTATATAATGAAAATGAAAAAAAATTCAAAATTAGTTTTATGTGTAATATTTTAATATAGGTAATGTGTTGGACCTACTGTTATCAACTGTTCTTGTACAACGGCTTGGTTGTTGTTTATTTGTATAGTATAGATTTATTTAATTTTACATATGTTTCTATTCAGTATATTATTTAAAGAGTAAGTTGATCTCAAATTTAAAAATGTGATAGCTATCAAATTTTAATAAAAACATTGTACTTATATTTAAAAAAAAAAGTAGAAATAATAAAAATGATAAATAACTACTACTACCTACTTGATAGAATATATGTAAATATATCCTACATATTTACCTTATTGTAATTATTGTTCATCGTTTTAGTATTTTAACTTATTAAATAATACATTTTTGTCCACAGGGACGTTGACCTACTTAAGATGCGTCCGGTTTTCCGGCCTAAGCAGTGATTATGGCCACCGTGTCTGCGTCTACAGCCAGTTACTACGTCCGCCAGCAACAGTCGCAACCTTTGAAAACGCTCAACGAGACGAACGCGGCCATTCTCCGAACTGATAGACTACCGTCATATATACCACAATGTACAGGTAACTATTATTTATACCTTGTTTTACATCTAAAATAATTTTCTCGTTAAAATTACATTTTTATTATTTATTAACTCATAAATTTATATTTTTTATTTTTTATTTTTACTGACAACAATAAGAGGGATCACGTAATAATAAGTTATACATTTATATGAACTTTTTCTTTGACTTTTCAGTATAACGCTAGTGACGGTACACCATATTAGTACCCTACCAATAAAAGATAGTGTTTTAATTGAAAATTTGGCTACTTGCCACCTGTAGAGCCGTTACTAAACGGTAGTTTAAATCATTTCCTTAAAAGACTTTCGGTTGAACAAAGCTGCTAAGCAGCTGTGTTAGTGTAAATTTTTTTCTAGAAAAGCAGCCAATAACAGCTATTCGTGTACTCATGTAAATGCTTTCCGTAGCACATCTAATGAACCGATAAAATACAAAATAAAACTAGAAAACTACGACCGATAACTGTGTAGTTTTGAGTTCATCATTCCTACCATGCTTGTCACTATGATACACTTAGTTTTCATAAACCGTTGTTTAGCGAAACGATTTTTTACGATCTAAACAGCTTTTGCGATTTTCCCAACGACGATTTCACTAAACGTAGCCGTCAGTAAACAGGATAAGGTTTGTTGACTGCAGTTTGTTAGGGTATTGAGATGATACATGATAGTTGTCAGTTGACCGTACCGAGTTTCATAGGAAGGGCCATAGGGTATTGGATATTTTTTTTTAAAAATGTTTTCCACTTGACCGCAAATTCTCTGGCTGTATACTTAAAAAATACAAGGTCCGTCTAGTTCGTCATGCACTGATGCTGCAGCTATGAAATCAATACAGCAATCAGCCTTTTATAATATATTTTCATATTATGTACCGCATATGATCATATGATCATTTTTAACACACTGGCTGAAGTAAAAAATTAATAATTTCTGGAAACAATGACCCGTGCAAAACAGGAAGTTGCTTCTACTGATGTTTTCCTGTACATACACATACATCGTTAACGACTGGAAAAAACGTGTGCGATTACGTGGACATAATCCAGTACACTGTCCGGTGTTATTGTATACTCAAATAGTGGCTTGGAGGGTGAAGGGTCAATTAACCGAGTAGTAATTGTGAAGTATTTTTTTTTTTTTTTTTTTAGCCAAACGGAAGAGCGCCGTAGAACTTTTACAAGAAACCAAATCGCTCTACGTCAAATCGGAAACCGTTTTGGACAGAAAACAAGAACTGAGGCGAAGCCTCCGGAGCAGTGGATCTTCGGACAAAGGTTCATCGTCGCAAGAAGCCGTCGCTGTAGGTCCTTCTGCCGGGTGTTACCATTTCAAAGGTAAAAGTCGTTTGCATCCGTTTAACCTTCGCTATCTAAAATACTGGTTCTTATATTTATTATCATTTTTTGTGTCATAGGTAACTGCTGCAGTCTGATATGCCTGCCGCCGCCGAAAAGTCCCAGGCTAGTGTCAGCATGCAACAGGAAGTCTACGGCAGACTCGCAACAACTGCAAAATGATCTCAGGCGTCTGTTGAATGCTGACTCCAAGGAGAACCTGTTTGAAGCTACTTCAGTGAGTTTTATAATGCATCTCTTAAATTTCTTTCTAGTCCTCACTAACCAATTATATTTATATTTATGTGTGTAGCAGGGTAGACTTGAAAGTTGTGTGCATCTTGAAACGGGGAAAAAGGGATACAGGGGCTTGCATAGAGCCTCGTGCCCAAAGTTCCTTCGATTAACATATGTTAATATAGTAAAATAAGTCGGAATTATGTGAAAACCATTTTAATTTAGTCAGTAAAAGATAATGCATGAATCAGGGGATTACTTGACTGACAAAATTAATATAATTAATTAAATTATAGTGCTACTTGACTGGCAAAATTAATATTTTAGACAAATTGTATATTAAATGTTAGTGGTTAGAAACAACTTGAAATCATCAACGCTTTTAACAGCTTCTAATTAAGCTAAAATTGAATGGTTATTACACGAGTTACGTATTTTTTATATCATATTAATTTATTAAAATGTGTTCAAATTAAAAAAAAAAACCTTTTTTTCAAGATTATTGCTCTTTCAACTAATTTACATGCCAGAAAAACTTTGTAGAAGTTCATTGCATTTAGCCTCAATAATTTCCGCAAGGTGTGCTAGCAAGCATCCTTCGTTTATATTTGTGATAATGAAAATATTTGTCGAAATGTGTAGATAGCTGATTGAACTTTCATTGAGTTTCTTCGCAACAACCTTATGAACCCGTTTACTCCAAAGCCTCAATAGCTATATTTAATTTATAACTTGATCTATGTTTAGGTGTTTTTGGACGACGTTATCGTTCCTCCTCCAGCCCAGTACCGGAGGTCGGCGTCGCATGGTCAACACCATCAGTCATGCGGCTCGTTCGAATCCGTGGCCATGTGCCACAAGTCTTTACCAGATCTCACGGGCGTTGCAAACCCGACGAGTCATCGCCGCCATCACATGAGGTCTGCTTCATCCGATTCTGTCGACGACCAAGACGATGCAGAGGATGACATATTTGAAACGTATACGTCCAGCCTATCACCTCAGGGGTAACTAGTTATTTACATTAAACCATTCAATCATTCAGTTATTTCATTTACTTAAAACACCAAACAATTATTCTTGGAAGAAAAAAAAAATGAACAATAATAAACTGACTATGATTAGCGATTAATGGGGATCTATTCAAATTTTAACTGTTCGTCGCCCCTTATAGAGGATAAGTTTTAAAAAGATTTCGTATTTTTTAGGGTGAGTCCCTTCACTATAGCATACAGTAAGGGTGCAGTTTGACCAGTAAAATAATTATGCAACAGTGGACAGTGTGCGTCCTTTGAATATGAGTATTCCCATACATTTGATATAAATATAAACAAAATTATTTATTTGTTTATTACTTTTGAAACGAATAATGCAAATGTAGTTTGCTACCCTTTGTACTCTTGAGACCGGATTAGGCAAACGAAACATGCGTAATTTCGTAATGCACTATTAAACACAATATGAGTTTAAATCTTTAGTATTCAACTGACTCGTGAATGCTTCGCATTTACATAGAAATGTGAAGTTTATATTCTTATATATTAGTTACTTAAGTGTCTACTGTGAGTTTACTAAAGTGTTTGGTTTTTTAGAGGTTCAAAGTCTCCCTTACTCTGCTTATTTCCGCCGATAGTACTATGTACTCGTATGTGTATACTATTATGTGCTTTGCTACTGTGTTGTGCTGTGTTACTCTTGCGGATTTTTGAGCAGACATGATTGGTAGTTGTCTAGTGGCAATATTAAGGGAGGTGCAGGCAATTTTGTTGATTTTTTTTAATTATTAAAAATAATTTATGGTGGCAGGGTGACAAATATGATTTGCCAATGGGCTAAAAATCTTAAAATCCCCCTTTGGCTATTGTCCACCATTTAAATAGTATTCGAACGTTAGCATAAAATTCATATTAGCTTTAGTCCATGCCCCCGGGCACCGGTGTACCATAAATCATAACAATAACCCATCACAATTCACATTGTATGCGTGTTTGTTTTCGTTATAATAGTATATTGTTTGTTGGGTAAATTTATGGGTTAACTGTATCCGAGTGTAGCCAAGTGTATAATTACTGTTAACGATTAGTATTTATATAACGACAACGTGGATGTGCGTTTTACAGATTCGGAAACGTCAAGTCGACGAGGATACAGCTGCTGGACGAAATAGACGCCGCCACAAATGTAACCTCGTTCCCGGATTCGCTGAGCCTAACCAGTTACAAAACGGACGCCAGATGGCAACAATCTGTAAGTCACTTAGACACAAGCACATACGATTAGCTTCATCCATTCACGATATGATAAAATAATAGTTTTTCATTCGCACAACCCGTACCAGTACTGGGAATCGCCAACGGATCACACGCTGGTGCACGTGATCGTCTACTTACGGTTCTCTTTATTTTTTTCATCTTCCGTTTACTTCCATTTGAATTTCGATTACAGACAAAATAATAAGTGATATACCGTCACATCTGTAGAACGAACGAAACGGTGCCGAGAGTAGTAACTTTATTGTTTAAATCGTTAATTGACTTACGTCATCTCGTGGGAAACGGGATTGTTTGCATAAAATATGACAACTTTTATTACATTCTGCGACACAGCTGGACTTCGAACAATTCGTAAAGATCTACGTTGGTGATTCGTTTTCGTCAAAGTTTCAGATTTTATTAAAGTTCGGACAACCTCTTCGTCGTAAACGTACAAAAACTTATTTGCTCTATTGTATGATTTTTAACTAGCGCATTCCGCATATGCCGCAGGGTGTAAAGCATTTATAACACTTGTCAAATCAATATTATTATTACTGTTGGTGGGGTTTTGTCAACTTTTATGACATAATGACCTTCGAGATATTTCGCTGGCTTCCAGTAAGCTTAAAATCTCTTAAATATTAACAACACACTTCATTCTAACTATTTAGATCCTCGACGTTTAAATTTTCGGTCGTGTGAAAATCAATATATTCCGTATAAAATGTATTTTCTATACCTTTCAGAATTTAATGTATTAACTGTTAATTGAAAACTAATTTAAGGGCTCCAGCAAGTTTTTATTAACAATCTTCTTTTAAATAAATCATTATTAATTATTTTATTATTTTTTTTTTTTTTAATAGCCTTTATTAACAAAAAACATTCGGCTCAACAAAATTAATTATTTAATTCCTATGTTTTTATAAAAGTTGCTCATTCGATTAGGAAAAGTTTAAACTAAATTGATACGTACGACGTTCTGTTGTCTCTGCAGCAGTCGTTTTTGTTTTATGAACGAGTGAAATCACTTGTACAAGTTTATAGATTTGACGCAGAGTTGTTTTTTATCATTACTAAATAAATGTAAATAAACGGTATCGTGTACCGGATACCGATAAATAAACGAACAAAATTAGATATAATCGATTACCGTGAAATCGGGTATGGGTTCAAGGCCTACCTAACTGGATTCGCAGATTTCGCTTTAGTCGCGGGTAACAGTACGGAAATTCGAATAACATCTGCCCACTCCATTTCTACTTTCTTTGGAGTATATTTATCTTTTAACGTAGACGTATAAAATGTAGTTTTATCCGTAGTGTTTAATTTTAGGTATCCCAATACTGACACGCGTAAATAATACAACTTTTTTTCGAATAAACGAGTGAACGGATTTCACACTTAATCTAGATCCCAAAAAAATATTAATTTATATTTTCGAACTCGTCATATTTTACCTACAGCTAGAATGGCAAAAATTATCGTAGCCTGAGAGAGGAGATTTTAGATCGCCCAAATCATTTAGGTACCCTAATGGGGTTGGCCTTTTTTATTTTTATAACGTTATATTTTTTAAAATAATAGCTGTAACCAACCCGTCGGTTCTCCAATCTACCCTATTTTCAATCGCAACGATAGCAACACTGAACTTTCTATCTCTAGTTTTAATATAATTCGACGATCTTCTTCAAAAACAATGTCTTTCCGTTCGTGTTATTTAAAGTTTTTTGTTTTTAGTGCCTAAAATCGTGTAGCCTAATATCTAACATAGCATATTATTACACTGAATCGGCATTAAAATGTATAGTATATGTCTGTGTGAAAGGAAGATAAATTGCAGGTTTAGTAGTAATTTATGCAATTTGTGTACAATGCAAAATTAAATCATTGTTGTTTTAGACACACGGTGGCGAGACAAACAGTTCCATGGAGGGTGAGAACGTGTCGTCAGCCCATTCGATGGCGTCGCCGACAATGTCTGCGCTGTCCACGCCAAATCGACGTCCGCGGTCGGCGGGCGCTGTGCCTACAGTTCCGCTTTTGCCGCCTCCTCCTTTGCCACCGGTGGACGACGGATGCGGATGGAGCACCGAGAGGCAACAGCGGCAGCCGCCGTTGCCGCCGCCGCCTCATGACGAATACAGCAGGACGACACGGCCTATCCTCAGAAGCAAGTCGGACGTCGGTTACAGGGCGCCGAACCTGCTGAGCCTAGTACCGGCCAACGCCCCAGGGCCGCAACAGCCATATGACGCGGAACAGCTGGAGAACTTTTTCGGGCACCTAGGGCTCGACCCCGAGGAATACAAGTAATGATAACGGCTATTCTTTCTTCATTCAAAGTGCAAAACTTGGATTATCTTAAATAATAATTTCTGTATGTTTCAATATCAAACACTTAGATTTTACTCTTGATACTTACGTAATATGTATTACACATATTCTAAAAATTCGCTCCGTTTTTAACTGAATTTATTAAGCGTATGCACTGTTGTTTTATTATCGTTATAAATAAAATTATGTAAACATAAATTTGGTAAAAACAGCCACTAGTTTTATTAAAATTATGATTGCAGAATTTTTTATACTGAATTAATATACGTTCATACGTAATAAAATATTTAGATCTGAAGTCCTCAAACAGCTTTAGAAAAAAAGGAACCATTTTTTTTGGTATAGATTTTTAATTTTGTGTTTAAGGCGACCTTACTCTCAAAAACTATTCAATACCTAAATGTCTTTATATATTTTTATCTATAGGATCGTGTGGGGTAAACTAATTGGAAACATTTTAATGGGAGTTCATGAACACAACAATTATTAATTTTTAGTTTTATATTTATGAATTGTATAATAACAAACGGCAATTAAATGAACACAAACATGATCTCTATACGTAATATACTTTATATATTTTAACACGTACGTACAGTTTATGTATAATTTGAAGGTCGCAATGGCTTTACAGTGTTATAGTTGAATAATACTTTGTCTTGGCTCGGATAAATTATTATTGTATGTTAAGAATTGATAATCAAATAAAATCTAGATTTAGTAGAAATGCATTTTACTTCAATCTACCTGTACCTAATATGGATTTTATCGAAAAATGTTTGTAGGGATTTAATATTTTACTAATATCTTTGACTTAGAGCGGCGGCCCGCGTTGTATTGATTATCCCGTTTAAATAACGACTGACGTACATTATTATAATAATATTGTAGCCAAACTTTTATTAACGGAGTTCGTATCGAGGCTTGCCCGTTTTTCCGTTCGTCCAGCAGTCGAGTGATTTATGTGACGTCGTTAGCCGTCGGTTAAAGTAATTGGTTCCGGTCGTGTAAGTGCTTTTTACTCTTTCCGCTTGTCTTTTGGTTTTCCCGGGAATTTCTAGCTCCATCGGCAGTCATTAATGCTACCAATGGTCACCTTCAAAACCAGTGCTTTTTAAATATTTAAATCCGTAATATTATTATATCACATTTATGCTACTGCAAAATCTATTCGTTCAGTACCCAAAAATAGTATTTATTCGATTGGTATTTTGTAGCAAAATAGCTACTCGCTCCATGCTGCTGCTGGTACTGGTGACTGTTGATAGTACAGTGAAGAACTCTGTGGTGTTATATGTCATTTTTGCAGGGTTCCTCGTAGTATTACAATAGCGTCCTCTAAGTTTAGTCTTCCTCTAACACCAATGTTATTTTATGCACGTCTTAAGTCCCTTACAAAATATACAGTCTACTCCAATGAACCCGTTGAAGTTTAATTTTTGTTTCAAATGGTCTTCTCTATAACTGAACAGTTAATTGCAGAGAAAGGAAAATTCATTCATTTAGACCTTAGATTCGCATTTAAAGCCTTAATATTAATTTTCGACCTCACAACTCTTCGAGATTTTTTTCTACCGTCATTGCCTTCCCACTCATACCGATTTTGTACCTTTTCATATCAATATAACACTCCTAACTTCTCGCGATCTTGCCTCACTTCATCCATCAATCGTTTTTTCTGTCTCTGTTCCAATGCTCCATTTTTAGGCTCTATGCGTTTACGTGTGCATTCAAACTTGCCTATATCGATACTGTTTTGTTTATGGAACCATGTGCCCTCTATGAACCGTATCGCTCATGTGTGTATTATTATATTTTCCAGTTCCATAATGAAACGCGTGGAATGTGATGCCGGCTCGGAGACGTGCCTTTCCAACGGCAGTTCCTCCTTGGGTTCCGTGAGCGGAGGCAGCAACAACAACAACAACCCTCATGGCTGTTTGCCAAACGACAAGACTCACGGGGGTACCGGTTCACCCCACAGCGAATCCCCCTCCATAGTGGAGCGAAATGCCAGGATCATCAAGTGGTTGTGCAACTGTCGCAAAGTCAACCAACAGCAACCGGCAATGGTCAGCATCTAAATCGGCGTGAAATAATTGCATTGATGTTGTCTATAGCGACGCTTCACGGTAGTTTTGACCGAAGAAAATTGGTTTATTACAGACACTTAATACATTTTAAACTCGATTCGTTCGGTTGTTGTCCAGTCAACGCCAACCCTAACCAGTCGAATAGTGTGTGTCAAGACAAGACTCGTTTATCTTCATCTAAAGAGTCGGTGATTTTACAGTTATATAGTCGGTAATCAAATCTGTTATGATAGTATACTTAAATTTATGTTTGTAGGCTAAAATAAAATATCACGGCGTTCGAATCAAGAAAATACTCGATATGAATTCGTTTTTGCGATAAATACATGTTATAAAAAACTAGTTTTACTCATTTTAAAATTCTATATTTTACAAATGTCTTAATACATACATACTACCATTGATTATAAATATTATAAAGTTACCTTTAGGAATTTGGTGTTTTAAATTATAATTAGATTGGATACGCTGCGGATCTTTATGCAGTGTACTAAATAATATATTGTTATAATTATTCCGGACAAGGTAATTTTTTTAGGGTTCTCTGATACTGGCCTTCATAAATGTATTTGACAATATTATTATAAACAATAAAATCGAATAGTAGGTATTCTCGAAGAAACTAAAAAATCATATTTTATTAAAAAAATGTACTACGATACATGGTTGCTTTAGTATATTATTTTATTATAATATGTTTGATTATTGTAATCATTTTTTTTACTCTATATAACATATAATGTGCTTTACCGGTGCACAAGGTAACATGTATCATTATACTTAACACTTTGTAGTACTGTTTTTTCCAAGTACTTAACATATATTATATTAATATTATTATTAAAACCAAAATATTATTCTAGTCTTACAAATCAGATGTATTATTGTTGTAGTTATAATTAAATGTACGTTAACGATTTTTTTTGTAATATTTACTGTATTGTAAATCGAGTATACAAAATATTACCGTGTGTTAAATTGCTAATTAATTTATTTGTTTGATGGACATTTCCTTTTTATATATTATGTCATCATTTTCTATTTTTAATGCAATACTGTATTTTTGGTTAAAAACTGCATTCAATTGTTTGTATTGTTTTATCTTAGAAAAAACTGTATTTTATTCATTTTTATTTATAAAATATATAAATATCTATATATTCATGAAATTCAAAAAGATATATTTTGCTTCTTTTATTTTTAGCAGTAAATCAATCAATAAATACCTAAGAGAAATTATACATTGTCTTATGTAGGAAAGATGTGAGCGAATAGATTGAGAGTAGGCTGGACATGTTATATGGAGAGATGAATAGAGGAGCTCTAGATGTCGTCAATTCAAATCAAATGTAAAAGGAAGGAGAGCAAGCAATGCCTACAAAATGTACGGCCAGGCCGTGAATCTAATTAAGGGTGTTATTGGCCATAAAGTAAGGAATCGAAATTAATGTAAAAGACAATAGAAGGCTAAAAAAGATATGATTTGGTATGAGGAGAGCGATTAAGTGTATGAATATGTGTTGAGTGCAGGCTATGAGTTAGGGTGGCTGCCCCAAAATATATATAAATGATACAAGGGTTAATAATAATATACGAATGCCAAAGAAAAAGTGTTAACATATTAATGGAACAAAAAAGACAAAAATCATGAAAACTAATACAATTTTACCTGACTATATAAATCAATTACAAAGGATAGAAATACATATTTATATGCATTTTGAAACTTATAATGTAGTTTCTGGAGAATCCAGTGTTCAAAAGTGATAGCAGTGAATGTTTTTATTTTCAATAACAACTTTAATAATTCTAGGGGTTATATTGTAACAACAATTGTGAAGTTATGGTAAGCCCAGATGTCATGTTCGTGGTATCGTCGTACTTGAAAGCGAGGTTTTTGTAGTAATGTTTTATGTTTTCTTGGATTGAAGTGTCGAGTATAGTGGATAGGAAATCGCACAGAGTAATTTGTGATCCGATTAAGGATCGCGACATTCTGTAATGTAGCTCCAAGACTTTTTTGGTCGGCACGAACTGAAGAACGCAAAAACCGTCTACGAATTCGATCATATTGAGCTGTGCAAGTACGCCGAAATAGTAAAAAACGCTTTTAAAATTACAATTGAAAACCATGTGATTTTTTGATAACGTAACTCCGAGGAAAAATGTACGTGAAAATATATTTTTTTACTTATTACTTTGTGTAATATTATGTACTATTTGTTTAGTAACGAACGCATTAAACTCAATATGCAGTTCGCTGAATAAACATGATGAATGCCAATTCTATCTACTAACATAAATAACACAATAAACTATAGTCCATAAATTGCATGTAATAAACTAATAAAAAATCACCATTACTTACCACCATGGTGGATTTATATGGATCTACCTTGAGTAGATATTATAATATTATGACTTGTGATGTTTGGTCTTTGGATTGGTAAATTTGAAAATAATTGCGGGAGTATACAGTGGCACCAACGGTAAAATGTTGTCAGTGATGCAGATAAGTAGATTCGTGAATTAACGCGTTATCATTTCCATATGTTTTATATTTTTTAGCCCTTGAAAGTTAAAACGAAGTATTTTTCGCTACACCAAATAGCATTTAGCAATATACTGTTAACCTCGCAATTACTGAGGGCGAAATTTACTAGGCGGCCTGTTCTACGGTTTATTATAAATGTATATATTCAACTATCGAAACTACTTATGGATAATCAATTTTATGTTATTGCTTTGTTTTAGATGTTGTCACATTCGATGGTTAGGTCGTTTCTGGCACGCCCGGCCGTGCTCAAGAGACTGGCTGCAAACAGCTCAACTGCGGCTGTATTCCAAGCTGAACCCAAACCTCCAGTACAGGGAGTTATGCAAGTACGTGAGGACAGGATCGTAGGTCGTGATATCGTCGGTTATGGTATCAACGGTGATCCAATGTACTTCGACAACATCACCTGGCCGTTCCCCAGTGTGAGATTCAAGAAAAATACACCAGAAATTTTGGTAATATTGATTACTGTTACTGTCAATTAAAATATTTAACGTAGCTACATAGGTTATATTAAAAATAATTTTTATCTACTCATCAGGCTTTGCGTGAAAAAGAAAAAGGCGATTGGAAAAAGTTAACTTTGGAAGAAAAGAAAAACCTTTACAGAGCTAGCTTTTGTCAGACTTTGGTAGAATTTGAGGCACCTACTGGAGAATGGAAAGCCGTATTCGGCTGGCTTATGATCTGGACTTCGGTGGCTCTTTTTTCATTTGTTGGAGTTCGGAAATTCCGTAAGTATAACGAGCTCAAAATGTACCTAACAAAATCATTAGTTCTTTTTAACATTTCTATTTTTGTTTTTATAGTGACCAACAGTGCTGACGATCCTTCACTGTCACTTGAATCTCGTCAAGCCCAACTGAAACGTATGATACAATTACGTGTCGACCCGATTGACGGTTTATCGTCCAATTGGGACTATGAAAAGAACACATGGAAGAAGTAGTTGTTTTATGTTTTGTATTATAATTTTGTTTTATAAACATTTAAGCCATGATGTTAGGTAATTGTGAGAGTAATAATATAATAACATCCTACATATGCAGTGTTATCAGTCAATATAATTTTCTCATAGAAATAAAAATGTACAAGTTTTGATATAGTATTACCGAAAAATGTTAATTTTTAATAAATATAGAAATTGAGTATGGTTAAAATGAATATATCACTTTTAAAGTGCATACCAGATAATTTTACAGTTAAGAATTATTATATACAAAGGCACAATATAAAAATACTTCAAAATAATCCAAGTAATAAAAAAAATGCTATTTAACTGATTGTTTTTTTTACATTCATGAATGCGACAGTGATTTTGTTTAACTGACCTCATAAATTTAACCAGTGTAGCTTAAGTTTAACTATTGAAAATAATATTAAATAGGAAAACGTGTTTTTTGGGCTTTCCTAAATAATTGCGTTGATGGCTGATACGGCCGTATGCCCGTTAGCCATCGATATATAATATAAAATAATGTATACTTAACACTAAGCTTTTAGAAAACTAAATATTATTTTCTAATGGATTTAATGACTTCGCCATCAAGTCTGGAAAGAATTTGTCATTTTCTATTCTAATTTGCTATATTATTATTTACGAGTTATAACAATTATTTTTGTTTGTTTACATACACCTGATGTACAGTGGAAAGTGATTTTGATTAATATTACATGGATGAGCTAATTCAGTCAGTCTTAATTTTCTACAATGTTCAATGTTCAAACCCTGCTCTGGATCATCAAGTAAACGTTTTTTTGTAAATCGTAAGCAATTCTTGAAAAAATTGTTAACACCCTAAATAAGTATTCCAATGACCCTTTATGTTTTAACATAATTTCATAAAAAAAAACTTGAATGGATTTCACTTCTGCTGGAAATCATTAAATAATAACATTTATTATAATTAAATTTAAAAAAAAACATAAAATTTTATATTTCACTAGATAAAACATACACCTTGGTAACAATAGTTATTATTTAAAGAAACAAAAAGTAACAATTTAGGCAAGTAATAATTATAGTAGCAATATTATACTTAAAAGTTGTAATTTTATATAAACACCGTTCACCGCTCCTATATATTTTGTCATTAAATGTAATTAAATTCAATTAAAATGCAAATAATTCTGGAAACAAAGTCTCATAGATAGGTTTTGACTGTTCAGACTCAGCGGCAGATATTTTGTTCGTAATCTCAACATTGTTAAAAACTTCATTTATCCTGGTATGCAATGATTCTTCATCCTGAAAAATAAAACCAGTTAACATTAAATAATAAAGATGTAGTCTGGAAAATTAGTCTCAATTATTGCATATATTTTAATAATATTGGTACCTTCGATGCAGTAGATATTGCCACTAAATCCTGGAACGATGTTTTTCTGAACAAATCACACAGTTGAGTCTGTCTGGTGTGTTCTTCTGCTTTAGCGTTTGGGTTGTCCAAAAGTGTACGCTTCATGGCTTCAAATGATAAATCTTCTTTTGGCGAAAATTTCTGTTAATTATATTAAATTAAAAATGATTAAATTGATATCTTAAACAAGCTAATATTTATTTTATTAAGAATTATCAATAGTTGAATAATACTTAATGAACAGAGCAAAACAAATAACTTAAGAGTTATTATGGAGTTTAAATCATGTTTCATCATATAAACTATTATGTTCAGAATATGGATTAAACAAACATGTTATGTTCTACTTACTCTCTGCATTGCTGGGGTAGAATTGACACTGTCCAAATCTAGGTTACTCAAATCTGTGAAACTCCCCTTCATAGAGATACTAGTGTTTTCAACCCAACTACGTCTATGTGCCAACACCGGACCGGTTTCATCTATAATTAATCATTTTTATAATTGATATGTAACTTAAAATGATTCAAATAAAATAATAAAAATAAATTACTAGTGATTTCAATTCCTGAGGCTTTTAATGCTTCTGTTAATTCAGGTTCTTCAATTAAAACACCAGCCGGTAACAGACTGTTAGATTTAACTTCGTTATGTAAACAAAAATCAGGTAACAAATGTGTAGCATTCAATTCTTTTCTTTGTCCAATTACCTAAATAAAAAAACACTGTTACATTAAAACCAAGTTTTTTTTTTAAAATATGATCTTTATAAATACTTTATTTATATAATCTTTTAGTGGTTGTAAATCTAACACCACTGAGACTAGATGCATTACGCTAATGACTAGTGCGTGTAAATGGAATTTTTGTTGAGTCGAAAGCACTGCATTGGTTATGGCCAATTCTTGAATACTCAAAATCAGTCTAATATAGTCCAAAATGGTCTCTTCAGACAGTAATTCAACACAAATCAGAGCCAATGTTGTATAAACAGCTTCAACATTATCAATTGAATTATTTGTCATTTCCAAACTCTCGTAAATCGACACGTAAATGTCTTGAGCATGCTTTCGGATGAATATTGTGTCACTTCGAGAACACTTCTCAAGATTTAAATCTGATTTTGAAATATTAACACTGAAAACAAGATTACATCAATTTCGTTAATTTATTTAGGCTTTTGATGGAAATATATTTAATGAAACAGAGAATATGATAATATTTTTTTGATAAAAATCCTAACAACCTTCAACATTGCTTTTCATGTAATATTGAAAATAAAGTATTTTTATTTTGCTGATTTTCAGATATATCGATGTTAGTAACTAACGTGGATATATCCGAAAATCAGCAAAATGGAATTTCAATCCACGAAAGCTTTAACGCATTCATATAAAGTATTTTTAATTATTTTATTTGCTTGATTTTTAAGAAAAACTTAAAAATTGTTAATAAATCCCTTTAATTTTAATTAACTTACACAGCTTTAGCTAATTTTGCAGCATTATTATGTCTATCTAATAGTGTGTGTAATATACGTAACACAATAAAACGAATCTCATCTTCAGAAGCCGTCAGCGTCTTCAATAATAAATCCAAGAACGATTGAGGGAATGTAGCATTCATTTGCACAGAACTATACTTGGTGCTGACCTAAAAAAAAAACCTAATTCTATACTACTATACAAACAATAATTAGCAGTGGTGTTTATAGTTGTAAGGTAAATATAAACTGTGTGTACAGCATGTGCCCTTAACATTTTCCTTATTATTAGTACATGCATACATAAAAAAAGGAGAGTTAGTGCACAAGCATATACTTAAACGATTACACCACTGATTATTAGTAATTAGTTATGAGAGAAATATGGTACCATTAAGAGGGACTTCAAGCACATTTTCTGTACATGGAGATCGTTGGGATTGTTTGAAGACTTAAATTGAGGTACTTTAGACATGATAAACATCATAATTTCAATTTTTTGATAATCTGGCAAGTGTGCAGCGAATTCTCCTAAAGCATGAATAAGCGCTTCCCGGTATTCGTTTTCTCCATCAGATTCGGCAACACCCGTATTGGACTGTGGTCTTCTAGTGACCGATGTACGGAGATTTGTCAGTAAGGAATTTATAATTTCTAATACTGTGGGCCCGACACTCTCGTTGGCTGCAATAGCAATAATCTTAGACAAGACATCGGCAATACTTGTTCGAATTTTAGGCGATGCATTGGTATTTTCATCCAAGTGCGTCATCAACGTTTCCACAACTGCGTATGAATATTGTGATTGAATGGAAAACATTAAAATTCGGAAGCACTGAGTAGCGAACACATTCGGCACCCACATATGATGAGCATCTAAGTGTCTGAAATTTCACAGAGTAATTTCTTACTTTCTTACTTATAAGTTAAAATTACAAAATAAAAAATAAAATACATACTTCAGTACGGGACGAATAACACTCTTAACATGACCGAACGAGGCTCTTCCTATAAGTTCTCGTAAACATGATTCAGCCAATGAAAAAGAATCATTCTTTTCGTTGACTTCTTCGGATATTGCACTTTCTGACATTATATCTGACTTGATGCTGAAATCAAAATATATTATTAACAACTGCATTAATAAAGATTCCACAGCTGCCAAATTTTTCTATTTATTGAGGGGCAAATTTTGTCAACATTTTCACTAGATATAAAACATTTGTGTCCTTTTGTTAATACAGAAATAAGAAGTCATTGTGAGTAATTATTTATTTTACTATACTATTAGTGTTGATTTCCAAGGTTTTCACTATTTACGACATATGTACATCATCTATGTTTTTTGATATTTTAATAAATAATTTTTCATTAATGTAATTAAAAAACAAAATTGAATCTTCAACGTTTAGTAAAAATTAAGCTAATAGAAATATCAAATAAAACCGACCACATATAATGTAAAATATATTTTTCTTTATATGAAATTTTTAGTTGTTTGTTAACTACAAACAAAAAAGGACAAAAATATGTGGCTAGTTTTACATCTAAGATAACGTACGTGTAGCGTCCTTTAAGTATTTTCGTTAAATATATATGGTATTGTAGATATTAAATAGCTTTTTTCTTTCATAAGAAACCTAGAAATTATGTAAAAAGAAAAATTAATGAAAAACTATTACTTCATTGTATGCATGTTGAACAATAGCGACGGAACAATTTTATCCATGTGAACGGGTTCCCAAATATTCTCGACTAAATCGTCTGATACAGTTTTCCTTATGACTCCCTAAATCAACGAATAAACATATTAGTTAAGGTATATTGCTTAACAATTGTTATAAATTAACTAATATTACTAGATACCTGGATTCCTTTTATACCAGCCATTCGAATCATTTCCATAGTGGCTAAGTTTGGATTGTTGTTATGACACATGGACGAAAACTTTGAAACAAAAAAGTCGTATCTCCTATGGTATGAAGGAGTGTCCTCTTCAATATTGGAAAATCGTACAAACTGTAAACAATGATTATGTCACAATACAAAAGACATAGCGATAAAAATATGTATTAATCTTACCGATTGGGTTGCGAGTATTTGTAAATTAGGCTCAGATGACTCTAGTAATTTTTGCACAATACGTAAGTAGCTTTCTACGAATAAGTTTAATGTTTGAGCATGGCACGCCACTAATAACTGGTCCATGGCTTCCATAGCTATCATTACAAATCTAAAAAAGGTATAAGTAATATAAAAACATAATTTGCAGTAAAGTAAATAAATATAAATTTTTACTCGTTTCTTTTGCGTGATATATCTCTGCTTGCTTTTTGAAACAAATATTCGCCAATACGGTCTAATTTTTCAGGTGACGATAAAGCGTAGAATGTCAACTTTTCCATATTGTTTTTTACTAGGCCATCCTAAAAATAAGTTATTAAGCAATAAAATTTACAAAAAACTTTTTTCAATAGCAATAAAATAGAAAAAAATACCTGAGGTACAGATGGAAATATGTTGTCGACGAGACGCTTATAGCGAGGGCGCATTCGAGACAAGCAACCTGTATAAATAAAACAACATGGTGGCATATAATATTAAAAATGTAAGTTATAATTTGATTTAAGAGATTAAAGGTTTAACAAAAAATTTTGAACTAGTTTTAAATACATTTTGATTAAGTATACAATAAAAAAGTTATTTAAATATATACTTGCAACCTAGGAAACCGTTCTTTGGTTACTTAATTCAATTATTTAAACGTCACAGTTTGATTCTGTAACTCGAAAATTGTCTTGAGTCATTATTTGCTATTGTACCACATATATCATGTATAAAAAATATTAAAATACTATTATGTTGCACTCACCAACACACATGACTGTACTTCTTTTAAAATGGACTCGAGAAAATTCGTCAGTGAAGTTAAAAATAAAACGAAAAACTAAATTGATGAGTAATAACAATTACTTTTTGAAAAATATATTAGGTACTTAAAGGGAATACCTAATTAATACGATTTATTAGATATTTAAAGCGAACAAAATAAGGCGTTCGGGTGAAAATACACTTTAATTTGCTGCGCTGGATTAATTAAAGATAATTATTTTATTTATTTTTGTACTACACAGTAATTAAAACTAAAACATTAATGACTTATAATAAAGGGTAATTATGAATGTCAAAGCCCGGAAATCCAAGCCTCAAGGCGATCACATCATATTTTTATTATAAATTATTCATAGTTGTAGTTTCTAGTTCTTACTTCTTATCATTTTGAAATTCCTGATAAAACAATGATAACGAAAATTGGCGATGTGATAAAAAAATCATTGATGTTGTCAATATTTTATAACTATTTTTTATTCCATGAGATAAACTGCCGCGCTATAGAAAACAATATTAATATTTTAAACTTGTACACTCAAAACCACCTTAAAAAAAAATCAAACTACTAAAATAATAGCTATTTATTTTAAGATCATACTTAACAGCAAAGGGAGGTTGTAAAATTATTAGTGTAAACATTTTTTTGCGCAAAATTATCATACCTAGACATTACCTCGTACCTATAAAATTTACATTTTTATTTTGAAATGGCTATAAAATATGTCTAAGTTAAATATTGTCCACTAGAAAATTGTAGATTTAAATAATGTTTACGAAACAACGTTTAAGTGAACATGGTTTAAAATGGAGTTCAAATTTCGAAAAAGAATGCCTACTCAAAATTAATCAAAAAATGAGTGGCGTACTAAATAATTGAACAATATAACATGACGGATTCTTAATTAGGCATGTACTTAAGAAAAAAGTGCGACGGATATTTTTTTACAAATAAATTTCAATAGTTAAATTCAATATTTGGCGTAAGTATTAAATTTGTAGTTTAAGTGAAATAACAAAATACAATTTGTCTTTGCTATATTATATCCACAAGGGTTGCTTAAGTTTTTTCTAGGTGACATACGTACCTAATATTATAGGAATGATCTATTCTTAATAGGTCACAATGTAACATTAGTAATGGTAATAGTGGTAGAAAAAAGGCTTTGTTGTAGTAAAAATTAAAACTGGTGTACGTTTAGATTAGACCATCCTCTTTAAAGAAAACTGAATTTGCGCCCCTGTTTTCCTTCCACTCAAATAAACTGGGTTCAAAACATTAGCATCCCGAAGGTTTCCATCAATACCAGACCCTTTTTTTATTTAGGAAACTAGGATGTTAAACATTGTTATAGTCACTTATAAGGCGTACAAAACAGAAAAAAAACCCAATCGATTATTAATGAAACCAATTAGGTTAAATTAGGTTACTGTAATTTTATGTCAAGTCTAAATTTGTTGAGTGTTGACTGCTTCATTATGTGATTCAAACAAGAACATGATCAAAAACATTATCGTTTACAAATTACACGAGAACAGAGTTAATATTCCTGTTTATTTCATAAAGTTCTCATTCAGTGATAAGCTAAGCAAAGACCCTATTACTAGGTTTCCCGCTAACTGTGTCAAAGCATTTCTTAGAGGATATATCGACTCACAGTTGAGAAGAAAATTAATTTTAAGTGTATGTAGTAGTGGAAATTCATAGAAAACGGGCTGGCAACGAGCCATAAACCCCTGTTAATTTTAAAATACAAAAGGAACGGATTTATTTTAGTAATAACGATTTCGACGAAACGCGGTAATAAGAACTCTGTTTAAAAAGAGTAAAGTGTATTAAAAAACTTTTTACAGACTTTTTTGAAACTCTTAGGTAAAAAACATAATGAGTGAAAATTAACATAAAAACGAGTTCAGACAAAAGTTTCCATTATTAACAATGAACTTTTTAGAGGTATAGCAGTATAATATTCACGGGTTGAACCATACCCGCCTTAAAGATACCAACCTTCACAAAAAACAACAAAAACCTTCTATAATGTTGTATAAAATATATAGTATAATTTATCATCATGTAGTATACTCCAAATATTGGCCACTGAACAAAACGAATCATTCGAATTATTTGTTTTAAATGAAAATAAATAGGTAAATAAAAGATAAATGGGAAACAATAACTGTGATTTAAATAGTCTAGATGTACGATAAAAATGTATGTCCTCCACAAAATCAATAGATATTTTTAAGCCATTAAATCAATACCTAGGTAACGCTAGAACATGTTTGTGGCCACAGGTCAAATACTAAATAGTGATAACTTCCTACAAAACATGTAATTTTTTGGTATACGTATAAAATGTTTATTTTCTAAAAACAAGTACAATTACACTTTAATATTATTTCCAACTTATAGCCATAGTCATATCAGAGGAAGGAATTTGCTTGTTCTGGATTGCTGATTACATTAAAAAAATGTATAAATCTGTTATATTATTATTAGCATTAGTTATATTATTTAACCAAGCGATATGTGGTAATTTTTGGTTTTTTTTATGTATAATATGCGCTTGTCATTTTCTGAATTTATTTTATACAGACTGGCATGAAACACAAAATACAACGTACTTTAACGGTTGAATTCGTTAGCACAATAACTTCTTGAAATTAATTTCGTGATTCAAGTTAATAGTAGTATTCATCACAGGGGTTATGTAGGCGGTACGTGGTATAATTTCCGGCTTAACGTATTAAGTACCTGTAACATTAACGCTAATGGATGGCCAGCTTTTATAAAAAATGAGACCAGAAAGTTCAAAATTAAAATATGGTATTTAAAAGAAAAGCAATTTTTGCTTTCCCTACATTATTTGATTATTTTTCAATTATTATAATATTTTTAGAAATTCGGGAAACGCATAATTGCAAGAAACCTACGATGAGCTCTCGAGGTTTAAGGGGGCACCCTTTATCTATAGGCTTAAGTGCGTTCCATACTGACAATTTAATAGGGACGTACTTAGCTAGCGAATTGTCCCGAATTGGATCGACCATTTTTGGCCCAATAAATTTAATGAAACCTCATAGTTGTAATTCCTACTCTTTTTATTAATCGCCCCAAAAAATGTTACTATATTTTTAATAACTAATAAGTAAATTAAAGTTTTGAGTACAAATAGTTTTGTGTTAGTAGCATTTAAACTTATGATAGGATTTTTTTTTTATTTAATGTAATAAATATTACAATTTGAAAATTGGACTGTCTTTAACCAATATTTCGTTGAAAAATTAATGTATCATAAATTATGATTGAATTTGTATGAACTATACAAAATATTGTGGAAAAAGACAATACATTTATATTTTATAATATACAATTAACAAACAACGATAAAAATAATTGCAAAAGCTCTTTACACGAAATTTGATAATCATTTGTTAACACTAATTGGTAAAAATCCAATGGCCGATTTAGTTATTCCTTTACGCAACCGATAATTTTTTATTTAGAAATTGTAATAAGACTTCTAAAATGGCATAAGTTATCATGTAAATGAAATGTTTCGTCTCAATATGAGTTAGTTTTAAAACGAAACGTCATGTATGTACAGTTTGCAAGGTCTATAATGCGGTATTTTTTTTGCCTTCAAGCATTTATTAAGGTTTCAACCCTATCGTTGTGTATTTACATACACAAATAGCTTAAATAGGGGACTTCGTATCACGTTTATTTTTATATACATGACATATGTTGCCTCCCGTTTTATCTTTACACTCCGTTCCTGTCTTTCCGCCTGCTTTTACAGTACACACTGACTAGGTATTTATTACGGTTAGGTTTGTTACACAAACAATTTAAATGTCATTCGTGTATTACTACACCTACATAAATAACTAACGGCGCCCGATAAGTATTATTAACATATAATTTCTGAAAGGCCGAAGGGATGTTTATTGTTTTAAAATACATCAGTGTCTTAATAGCAGTCACAAACAAAATATACTATTTGAGTGGAATCACCTTTTGTTTTCTCAAAACATTATTAAAAGTTATTTTAACTATTTTATTTACCTATTTACCTAATTAAAATTCAAGGATTTTAGCTTCGGTTCAGAGCTGAGAGGGTATTTATTTTACAAAATATGTTTTTTTTCATAATATTGTACCTATACCAATTCCCTAAATTTATCAATAAATCGCTCATAAATTTAAAATAGCGTATGTTGGTGAATGTTGTATTTCTGCAGTTTTAAACTTTCAACCCCAATAAAAACTCATGGTTAAACTAGGTCTTATTGGCCAAACGTAATAATTTTGTTGGTTAGAACTAGATTTTTGAAAAAATATCATTCAAACACATTTAGTTTTGCTTGATTTTAAATCTTTAAAAAAAGTTATTTTATTCAGTAAAACGTTATAAGTATGTTTCGATATTTAACAACCCATTAACTGCAGAGATATTTAGTTTCGTAACTTAAAAATCATTTTCACTAAAACGAGACAATTGACAATGTTCAAGTGAAGTTGACTAAAAAAAAATGTATAATGACCGTAATGGCTGTATTCAATCTAATTTAACATGTCACGTTTTTGTATAGAGCGATGATACCATTGTAGTAATGTATTCAGTGTTCGACAGTGATTTTAAAAGTTCAACTGTAAATTAGTCGTACAAACGTGACGATTAATTGATATTTTATAATCATGATAGATTAAAACATTATACCTACATTCAGTGTTATAATATTACTATATTGAGAGGAGGGTCTGAGGGTGAAAAAGGTGGAGTGTATCTGCCATTTTTATTTTTTTTAGATTATCGTACCTTTACCGACTTGACCGTAAAATAAACACGGGTCATCGAATTTAATTTTGTACCTCCAAAACCAAAGCTTTAGTACACCTTAAAATATTTTATTATTTCAACGCAATGCAATATTTTTACATAAAAGGTGATAATAATTTTGGAAAGTGTATTCATTTTAACAATATAAAAATAGACTTCCAAATTATTTGAGTTTACAATATACGTCATAATATACTAGCACAACAATTTGTAAATTACATAACTATATATAATTATTCTACATTGCAGTAGGAATAGTACAGTATACTAGTAAAAAAAATACTATGTATAATTTAGCGTGATATGTTTATTAGTAAAAAATTATATAAAATAAAAGTTTTAACTATTATGTAACCATAAAAAATATGAAATATGATTTAAGTCCAATGAAAACCTCTGTCCTAGAACAAAAGGCTCTAACAGTGGCCCTAACACATATACGATTTTTTCAAATATCTTTGGTCAATTTTTTTTATTTAGGAAGCTATAAAACCGCTACCAAATTGTTGGCACATCACTTCCTCGAAAAGGGATTCTATTTATACAACTACTTATAATAACTTCTGACCTGTCACCTAACCTATTCTAATATGCTCCGTCTTTATTTTGTATATGGAAAACTTATGACATGTTTTATGGAGGCTAATAGAACGATTTTTGATCAAGTAATTAGAAGATTAGATGTATTAGGAAAACCATAAAAAAGTAAAAGAAGAAAACTTTTAATACAAACTTAAAATCAGATTTTTTTAATTCCATATAGGGAGTGTTAAACCTTATGTTATAACATCATACAGCTGAGTTAAGTTACAACAAATATTTTTTTTTGAGAAATCAAAAGATTCTTGAGAAAGTCTTAAATTGTATCAAATTTAGCCCCTTCCATTTCACAAAATTGTGTTTTAGTGCCAGTCGTTTACAGTTACCTCCGGGGTGGCTTAATGTAAACTGTGTTACTTAATTTCTTATTTATATACTAGTTCAGTACCTAATATTTAGTATTTTTTAACACTATATAAACCAGTTTGTTAATTTATTTTATTTTTCAAGTACTATTTGCTTGAGAACTGTATAAGCTGGAACTACTTATTGTGCTCTGTAGAGTATTTTGTCGTCCGAGCGAATACTATGAGAAAACCGTTTTTAGTCTATATGTTGTTAAAATTTTTTTTTTAACATTGTTATAAGGGTTTTACTTATGTAGGTTTATACTCACATCCCGGATCTGTACACTTGTCGACAATGGTGTCCACGCACTTCATCACGTCCGCCTGTTTGTAACAACAGCAAAAACTCACGTTGGCCATTTTTCAATATAGATTATAAATTCAACAAATTTATTATTGTTATAATTCAGTGCGGTAAAAAATCGTTATCAAATTAATAATAGTACATAACACGTGGCAAATCATAGTTATGATTTTGAAAAAAAAAAAGAAGTATAAGCGCAATTTTTTAAAAATCCAATTGTAAACGTTCACCGTGATACTCGAGCCACTGCGATGCTTACACCGGCAGAGCCGATAGAGCACTGAGAGCGTCAGACGCTAAGTCGGTCGACGCCGCTGTTTGTTACATATAAAAAGCTCATTCGCAAAATATCAAACCCCCAAGCTCCCCGCCCCTTTGGCTATATTCAGCGCACCCTCTTTTCATTTACACACACTCACTCATTTCATCCACCAGATTATACTATATACCTTGTACAGTCAACAGTCAATGGTGTACTTATACAGTATATTATAGTTATTGCATGCATATGTATATATATATAATTGGTCAAAGAGGACTTAAGAAACTTAAGAGAGGCATTAATAAACATTATTTATTTGGACGCTGACATTTAGTACTTAGCACTTGCGGTCGCTTGGTTTTTTTTAAAGGAAAACGAACCTACAAAAAGTCTGAGTACTTGTATGAATTAAATATCATACGTATGTGAGTCAAGAGTTGTTCTGAAAAAACATTTTCGAGCATTTAATGTTCAATTATACATGCTGGCGTTTAGAACTAAAGGGTCTACCGTCTGCTCATGCTTTATCTCCAAACACAAAAAAATTAATTAATTAATGAGAGTCAAAAAATTATAATTTTTTCATAATATGTATTTCTGGTTATAAAACTTGAAAGACTAAAGTAATTTTCAGTCTTTACTTTTTAAAAATATGATGTTATTACTTATTTTACAAAATCGCCAAGTTTCTATAAGAAATAGTAACTTTCAGTTGTGATATATATATATGTAACATAACTTAATAGCATAATAAGTCACGGGTATAATAGGTATATTTTTTTTTAATATGAGAGGTGAATCGAATTAGATATTATAATATTATATATATATATATATATATATATATATTAGTTTTTTACACAATACATTTTCATACGAAGTCTAAATCATGTCATTAATGCTTTCGGATTAAATCAAGCTTCCTTTTGTGCCACATATTTTACCATAAAGTTATGGTAAAATATGTGACTACTATGACTGTTAACAATTTATTTTCGATAGTGTATATCTTAATTTTAAAATACAATATTTGACTTTATAGTAAAACATTGTTATCACTTATCATAAACATAATACAGAGTAAACTTGAGTTTTTGTTTTTAACACGTTGACCGCCATGAGATCTAATATGAGATATCACAAAACTTTGTCCTGGCCGCCAAGGGTTTTTTTTCGAAGTTTACTCAAAACATTTTTGAACATTTTTTTTCTCAGATTTTATTCAAAATTTGTAAACATTAATAAAAAGTTGTTTCTAATACGTTTTTTATAGTTTCAAGTCAATTAGAGCTGAGATTTCGAATTCGATCTTGTGGCCGTAGGATGTAATTCACTGAAAAATTATTAATATTACCCTTACCGCGAGATCTTCAAATAAATATCATACCAATTATTACCATTTTATGAGATCTCAGATTAAATATCAAAACATTTTTGTTTTAAAAACTAACCTCTTTATCATTGTAGTAAAACATATATTATACTAAAAAAGTCTTTACTATCTTTTTGAAATTTGAAAAACATAAACTATTTAAATACTATAGTAGTAGGTATATAATCATCGTACGATGAGTAATCAAAGGATGAATTTAACATGTCATTAATACGGTCAGTGTCCATTATTAATTATCAAAAACTTAATATTATATTAATAATATTATATAATATATAATATTATGTTGAAACACAGTACGTTTAAAAAAAATATGCACATGGTATCAATGATAAGATTATCATAGAATACATACATTTCAAAAAATCATAGAAAAAAAACTGATAACGCTAGACGCTTGCTAAAAAGACCCAATGAAAGTGGCAACACTGTACTTTTCAAATAAAATGTTAAAATGCTGATAATTGAGACCAGAAACGAAATATCACCAATTGAAAATAATTGGAATGAGATCTCTTAATAAATCTCACGACACATTTTTGGGAAAAAGTTGAGATTTCGAATTATATCTCATGGCCGTTAAAGTAACATAGTGAAAAACCCCGTGGCGGTCAACGTGTTAAATCTACGCATAGGATGTAAATAAAATACATTTTCTTTAGTTTCTACACTAAAAGGCTAGTTTAAGCTGTAGACCAAAAAGGCTCAGTTAGCTTACGCACGAGATAAAGCAGGTACAATATAGTATAAGTCGTTATGGGCCGTAAAGCAAGTTTCTACATTGCTATAAAATTGTAACAAGTTAATCCTTTAACAAATATAATAACATAAATCTTACCAGTCTATAAAATTCGAATAAAGGGAGAGTACAATTTGTTTCGGGGTTTCTATGTTTTTTAAGTCATGTAGAAACTAAATTTATTTTAGTTCATAATGATTAATGTATATTATTGATAATGTATAACCTACATCATTTCAATAGTGTAATGCTGTTTATTTATTTATGTGACTATCTTAACAACTTGTCACTACTCAAAAATACTTTTTTTTAAAACAGCTACTCTGGTTAGTCATATACTTTATTCTAATGACAAGTGCACAATATGTCTTTGTGAAGTTTCTGCTCAATAGGTTTTATTGTGAATACAAAAAAAATAAGCCCTTTACCTGATCACGAACATTTTCAAAACCTGTAGACATTTTAACGTTTTAAACAATTGTAATGTATTCTATTTGTTGTGAAATATTGTTCACGACTGACCAATGCAGACTAGTAGCCAACCTAGGAAACGACCATATGAGCCTAGAGCTATTAATAAATATAATAACTCCGAAAACGTCGCCATGACCTCGATAAATATTTAAATGTCCTGGGTAAAATTGGCTGGATAGCTATAGGTATGATGAATAATTAAGGACTCAGAAAACGTTTTATCGTTTAGGTTTACAACCAACGGATGGCCCAACAATTAATATTACAGTAGTGTTTCCCGCTACAGACGTTGTTTAATCTAATAATTATCCTTATCGTTATTATTACCCTTAGTCGCCCGAGTTAAACGAAAACTATGTCAACCCATTCTTTTTTCCTTGAGTTGGAAATAAAACAATTTATACAATATAAAAATAATCCTACCGGTGAGACTCAACAAGTTTGGCCCACCGATAGTAGAAGTTCTGGTATAGTTTTTTTTATTTAATTATAATTTTAAAAGTAACATTACAAAATTTCATGAAAGTGGATGCTCCAATTAAAATATAAAAACTTGATACAAAATCGCTAAACTTTCAAGAGCACGTTAAAATTGGCTGGCGTTTTTCCTCTTTCTGTTTTATAATACTGTTTTCGTTAGCAAAAAATATAATAAGTTTTAATTATTATTATTTAAAGTCTTACACGGTAGCAAAGTAAGACGCTAGACTAAAATAATTGTATTATTTTATTAGTGTATTGATATATATATTCATCCACATTCCAAGGATACAACTCTTGTTAAACAAAGAGTTGTCTAACTGATTAAGGATCATATACAGAACATTATTAATTCATTAAAATGAACGTAATAACATCTATGTCGATATATAGGATAGCCAGCATGGATATAGCAAGAGATGGAGTAAAAATGTATAGGCTCTTCATATACGAATAAACGCATAAAGAGGCTAAGGGAAACAATGTTACCAAAAGTTTATTTTAGACATTGTGACAAAAACACTGATAAATAGGTAGGTAGCACTATTTATTCCTCTGCACTGTAAGCTAATCCATGCCGTGGGATTCTTAAATTACTTAGAAGTTAGATGGAATAAATAAAAGCTCAAGCACATCACTTACCGTAGTCTTAACTAATAACTATACAAACAACTTATGATTTTAAAACGATAATATTTTGTAGTTAAAAATACAGCTTAATGTTATTTGTATTGTATTACATTGTCTATTCATGCAATATTAAGACATTGTCACCATATAAAAACCAGACTCGACAAATTATTTTCAAACACTAATTGCCTTGATAAATTGAATTTTTATTTTTATTATTGAGCTATTATCAAAAAATATTTGGACTCGTTTTAGACCACATTTGTTGTACATTTTTTAATGTTTAAGATTATTCAAGCAACATAATATCTAATAATATCGAAAATTAATGTGACAGCTAATTCAATAAGTGCATTCGTAAGAAAATATATTCTAACTCATAATTCTTAAAAGTTATAATCCTCACTTTTATAATTTATCTCAAGACAGAAAAAAAAAAAAAATGACAACCAATTGAGTATTACCAAGATAACGTTATATAGGAATAAAAGTTATAACGGTTCATTGCGAGAAGAGTGGACGAAATTTTCATATGAGTCACAGATATTATCCCACGCAACCTAATCTACCAACGATGTTGTTGGTCGTTGACCGGATAATTATTAATTTAATTGTTAAATTAAGTTTCCATAAATCAAATTTGAATTAAAAAAAAACTATGATATGTATTATCCACTTATAATTGTGTGGGTAAATTAATTACTCACACACTATCGAAGTTTATTAGCGACTAGAAATTATAATAAAAGTGTCTGCTAAAGATAGATTTAAAAAAATGTCCATACACAAAAGACTCCTTAGGCGTCTATCATAAATAGGAATTTATTTATACAAGCCAAATAAAATAAAATTGTACACGCATCAAGCCAATAAAATCAATTTGTCGAATTTATTTGATAATTAATTAAATTAACAAAAGTTTTGATTTAAAAATGAAAATTGTAAAAGCAAAACAATTATTTAATGCGTTTATCAAATTATAATTAAATTGAGCCGACCTCCATTGTTAAGTCTGTGATAGATTCTACAATATTTTTCTAAC